CATATATTGTTTATAGACTTGGGATCCCTTGAAAGTTTAAGCCTTACAAATGTAAAATACAAATATAACAACTGCAAAACAGAATTGCTTTAACTGATCACTGCACCAGACCAGTAAGAAATTAGAAGTTCTTTCTGTTTTATTTTATTGCATTTTTCAAGAGTAGCAGTCTTTTTATTGCTGCACACATTGAAAACTAAATATAATCCCATACTCAATAATACTACTGCAAGAGCTTGATAGCACTTACCGCAAGTAATACTGTTTTAAAGCGAAGGCAGCGTTAGAACAACTTCTGGGAAAGTTAAACTCGTCTACAATTTCTCCCCACTGATTCTTCTCAGATACCTGTCAAAAACAACACACAGACCGAGATACACAACATACACATAAAAACGTCGTTGACAGTGAACACCACGAAGAAGCACAAGCTTCCACGAAGCAAATAGATAAATAGAGAGAAAAATACAAACGTGAATGTATATGGGCCGTAGGACTGCATTTCTTACTGACAGTCGCTAATATTCTTCCTTCAGCTATAATCCTGCTTCCCACCGGCATTAAAAAGAAAAAAAGAAAAAAAGAAAAAAAATCGGGGGGAACGGCCGGGAGGGCTGTATTGTTTTGGGGTTTGTTTGTTTTTGTTTTTACTGCCTGGACAATAACCAATCGGGAGTCCCTCTGTCGCCCCCTTTTAAATCCTAACGCGGTCCGTTAAAAACCCAAAGAAGTTTAAAATAATCCACGAAAGTCTTGGAGGGGGCGCCCCCTGGCCTCCGGGGTGCAGGGGAGCGGGGGAGCCGTCCCGATGAGCCCCCCCAAGACAGATCCACAGACACAGAGAGGCCTTTCTTTTGAGGCCTACATTTCTGTCCCTAGCCTTGAAGCCTAAAGATGGCTATTTGATTACACACCGTCTTGGGTGCCCCTTTTGTTATTTTTCTCGGGGAAGGGCTCGGAGGGCAGCGCCGGGTCCCCCCCGGCTGCGAGGATCATTTCCTAGCCCATGCTCCGTGCCGATTATCGATGTTAAACATGCCCGCTAATTTTGAGTTGCACTAAAACTGCACTCAGACTCTCTCCTCTCTGTCTCTCCCTGTGTGTGAGAGAGAGACACACACACGGAGCTGCAATCGCAAGCGAAAGAAACTGCCTCTGACGGACCCACACACTCTGCTCGCTCCTCGCCCGCTGGCGGGGAAGGGGGGGAAGGGAAAGGGGCTCCGAAGGAGGGCAGGGAGCACACACCGTGCGTACACTATACCCCCGCGGATCCCCCCTTCATCGCTCCACCAACAAGGCCAAGCCACCAACCTGCCTGTCTGCTTGCTTCCTTCTTCCACCCCCCACCTTCTCTTACCGGCTTTAAATAGCACGGTTCCCGGCCACCCCAGCTCCCCCCGCCGCCCCCGGGGGTCAGAGGAGACTTTTGGGAAGAGGTTAGTGGGAGGGAAACCCAAATTAAAACTTCCACTCACCTTCCCAAATCCGCCTAAAGTGGTGACTCTGGTGTAGAGAGCGTGAAGATCCAGCTCCTTCCCACCCACCACAGGGATCTTCTTAAAAGGAGACCTGCCAAAGGAGATACACACAAAACACCACAACTTGTCAGCTCTGCCCCCTTTTCTCCCCTCGCTGGGGCTGCCGTGTCCTTCAGGGAAGGGGCTGGAAGTTGGATCTAGTCCGTTTAAAAGCCTCCCCCCCTCCCGTTCCATCTCCCCATTTTCCTCACCCTCTGCTGTGGTGAAACTGCCGCAGCTCGTCCAGGAAAGCGAGTCCCTTTCTCCGCTGGTCTGCTTGGTTTTTACCCGTCGAATTTGCCATTTTTGTATTAAAAAAGGTTTTCTTAAAAAAAAAATCCAATTTAAAAAAAAAAAAAACGACCGACAACAACAACAACAATCCCCGGCTCCTCCTTGTCTTTAAGAGACCCAGGTGCCCGTGCTCGGCCGGGGATCAGCCATGGAGAGGGGCTTGTTTAAAAAAAAGTTTAAAAGGAATAAGGGAGCCCAGAGAGTGTGGTAATTGCGAGTCCTGTCTCCACACAACACACAGGCAGAGAGACAGGGAGGGAGAGGGGCACCTCTCAGCACTTCCTCCTCCTGCTGCTGCTGGCTCTCTCAGCACCACAAACCCAACC